ATTGGGCCCTAACTGATTATGCAATGAGCAACAGTTCAAGATCAAGGAAGTGTACGAACGGTTATCCAGACACTTGCAATCGAAATCGCCCCAAGTTGGACGACTACAAGCAAATCAGGGGTAGGTTGCTGTGGACCGAAATTTCATACGCACCAGGATTTATCATCGTCTCCCGTTGGAACGTACCAACTCCCAAATTCACCACCACCAAATTCACTACAATAATTAAGGCAAGCATGCGGAATGAACTTATTTGTTCTCACATGGTCGTGCACTCATCTGGCACAAGATTATTTCTTTAGCAGAAAAGTCAACATAGAGCATGATAAAAGATAAGACAAATTCGCGCACATCATAACCGGGGATGTAACATTGATCGGAGTCGTTTGACACGCCTGTTCCCAACTCCCAGAAACTAAATTTTGGGTTAGAGGCCAAGCGTTCAAAGAGAAATACCACTCACTATCCCAAAGCCTTGCCATATAGGTCCTGAAGCCGTACGCAGAACATTCCTTTTTCAAAGGAGTATCCCAATGAAGAGCATCTGTTTTCAATGACTGTCCGGGTAACAGCTTCCGTGGTCCTTCAGTGTCTGCCGATATTTGAGTATACGGGTACGAGGGAGCACACGGGTCTCGTACAATTCAGGGCATTGCTACTTTCGGTCCCATTGGCTACGCTCTCGCTGATGCCTGGACATTTTCACTGAATAGGAAGGAGAGCTTCCAAATGAGAACAACTAACCTAGTGTTGGGGGCGAGATGCAAACTGAAGCGTAGTTAGTTCTGCAAAGAAATACGCATCAGACAAGGCAAGCACTCACGCTCCTCGCCAGCTTGGAGGGAAGAGCAGTTAAGGCCCGGGTTATACTCAATGAGCTGTTTGGGGTCAATCCCGACTGTGGCTGCGGTGTCGTTGCTAGATAGGACTGAGCACAAAATGTTGGAGAGCAAAGTAACAGCATGTAACTCGCCAGGAATAACCAGGGCGGACTGTGATAGTAGTGCAGGCTTCCGCCTTTATCGCATGGGCAGCGAATGCGGTTGTTAAAACGAGGAGCAGATTCTTGTGTAGCATGAAGAGAGAAGTGTAGTTCTTCACAAGTTGGGCGGAGAGACGATTTGAACACCGTGCCCTTTATAAGATTACAATAGTCATTAAAACACCCTACATCATCAATGAGATGTGGGCGGTAGGAAGGCTGTAGCAACAACATTCCTAAAGCACATTTTGACGGAATGCTGAGATGACTGACGTTGAAAACGAACTGGAGGCGTACCAAGACTCCGACCTAGACCCATTGCTATGTTAAAACCCCTAATGATATAACCACTATTGGTAGTGGCGCGGACATTTCTAGCGGGAAGAATTCAGAGTTTTACGCCACAAGCGAAAGTTAGTCCTTACCAGGATTGAGGCCACCCTACCAGCGGGAGCAAAGTCCGAATCATGTCCGTCCCAAAGGGCTATATGGAACAAACGAATTCCCCTAGAACATGAAACATATTCCAACAAAGCCAAGTAACATCGGGAAGGACAGTACTAAAATTTTATACTTCAACCAGACTCTAGATTCCAGAGGAACATTTCGTCGATCCCCTCTCAAAATATCCACATTGAACTAGGAGAGATCCCAGCTGTATCGTTGTTAAAACGAACTGTTGATGCTCCCGGTCCGGTCTTACAACGACGATTGGCCCACACCACCCAACATCCACCTCCGGAATTGGGGCTGAATGGCTTGGGGTGTGTGGGTGGGTCGACGTCTTGCACGAGAGCGGTGACGTTGGGTGAGTGAGAAATGCATGAATGTCACGTACGAGTCACGTCCTGGTCTCCCGCGTGGGTGTGCAGGCTCCTAATAACAAACTACTCGACCCCACCCTTGTATTTTTGTTTTCAAGAGACTACTACATAAGCTGTAAACTGTACTTTCTGCTGGTTAGACTCCTAGACACGACCTTCAATCTTCAAATTAAGCAATGAAGAAAAAAACAAAGAACAAAATCCCCCATCCCATCTAAACCCTCTCAAAGAACCACAAATACGCCAACGCCTTCAACTCCCTCACACTCTCCTCATCCGCCCTGACGACCTTCTCGTCGTTGAACAGCACCCACCCCGCCTCCGCCTCGTCGAAGCGGACGTGCGCGACATAGTGCCCCGAATGCACCGACGGGCCCTTGTGCGATACGAACGCCTTGAGGCGGTACCGCGCGGGCACGTCCGTCGTCCCCGGGGTCACTTTCGCTTCTGTCGTCGCGGAGGAGGAGGGCGCGGCGGCGGACGAGCCGTCGTCGTCGGGGTGCGAGAAGAGCCATTCCACGGCGCGTTCCATGTCGCCTCCCTATAGACAGTTTAGTTTTATAGGGGGGAAAGGGAAAGGGAAAGGGAAGGGCACCCACCGTTTCTAACAACGCCTTCCTCCCCTGCGCCTTGGTGAACCCCATATCCTGTATCAGCTCAACCTGCTCCGCCGGGGGCTCCGGACGCTGCGCCTTCCCTCCCGCAGAGGGTGAGGGAATGGGCTCGTCGATGTCTGTTATATACATCAGCTCATTTTCACACAGAGAGAGAGCGCGGGTTGGGGGGAGGATCGATCACGCACCAGCATCGTCCATATGCGCAAACAGCCACTCCATCGCCGGCTCCGCGTCCTTCCCGCCCGTCGCGAGGAGTGCCTTCTGCGCACGGACGAGCGGGAAGCCCATTCCCTCGAGCTGCGCAAGTGCGCCGGGGTCGAATTCGGGCGCTGCGGAGACCACCTGCTCCTCCTCGGGGAGAGCGACCTCGTCGGGCTGGATGCCCCGCCCGAGGTGGACCTCGGTGAGTGTGAGGAGGTCCGAGGGCGGGAGGCGCACGGGCACGTCGAGCTTTGTCGGCACCCAGTTGACGAGCTGGAATTTCTTCGCGTGGATGATGAGCGTCGTGGGGAACGATGCGAAGCGGGCTTGTCTGTGGGGGCGCCGTCTTAGTGTTTGTTTAGTCTTTTAGAAGAGGGGGCCGAAGACGCACTTGATTGCCGTGGTGGGGCGCGCGCATTTAGGACACCCGTACCCCTCGAGCTCCTCCTCGCCGAGCATCGTCTCGATGCACCGCAGCAGCTCCACGTCCTCGTAGAGCACCTTCCCATCTGCGTCCTTCCCTTTCTCCCGCGCGTCGATCGGCACGGAGACGACGTCGGCGCTGTCAGTGCGGTACCGCACGCCGCGGCATGCGGTACACTGGAGCCGCTGCTCGAGGGCGTAGCTGAACTCGGTGGTGGGGTCTGTGTGCGTGGGTTAGCGGTAAGCGCGCAAAGAGGGGGAAAAGGAGGAGGAGGGCGGACCGGGCACGGAGCGCTTGAACGCGTCGCGGCGAACGACCTCGACGAGGTACCCCAAGAACTCCTCGGCGTCCTGCTGCTTCATGGTGGCGAACTCGGGGTGGCCGCGGCCGACGAGGGCCTTGAGGGTGCTGGGTCTGAGGCCGGGCTGGAAGGCCTTGTCCTCGTCGTCGTGGTGGGGGGCAGGGACGGCGTAGCGGCCGCTGAGGAGCCCGTCGGCGACTTTGCGGAGCTGGCACTCGATGCAGGACGCGGGGAGGGGCTCGGGGCATGTGAGGGCGTGGGCTGTGGTGGGGTCGTGGGGGAAGTACCGGGCACGGAAGGCGGGGAGGGCGAAGAGGGCTTGGAGGGTGGAGGCGATGTAGCAGCTGTGGGTGGGTGAGCATGTGACCGGGAGAGGGACGCCAGACGCACCTGTTGCCGAGGTTCGCGAGGCCGGTGAGGCCGGGGCCAAAGAGGGGCTCGAGGGCGCGGCCGTCCTCGCCTGTGAGAGCAAAGTCGTACTGGAGGTTATGCTCGATCTGGAGCTCGGTCATGCTCTTCTCGGTCTTGGTCAGTTGCTGCACGTTGATGTTGAATGTCGCCAGGTGCGCGGCGATCTCGGGGTCGAGCTTTGCGTCGTTGCACACGTAACAGTACACGTCTGCCTCGGTCGATTCAGCCGCGCAGCCCGCACAGAACGCAGTACGCACCAGCACCGCCCTCGGGCGTGATCGTCCCCAGCTTGACGCTCGCCGGGTGGCCTGTCTCCTCGTAGTGCCGGAGTCCATGGCCATTGCCGCCCACGCCACCGATCTGCTGTCGGCCGCACCCCAAGGAGCCGCAGGTGAGGCAGAGCCAGAGGTTGGAGTCGAGGGCGCAGGAGGAGCAGGTCTTTGGCAGAGGGGAGGTGAGGGCGGAGGGCGAGGGCTCCTGGAAGAGGGCAAAGGTGTGCTCGCACGGCAGGATCTCCTCCTCCCAGGCCTGCACCTCCGATTGGCGCGCCGAGGAGAGCGACTGGAGCACGCCCTCAATCAGCGCCTTGATCTGGTCCCAGTCAGCCACAACAGCACCAGTCTCACCGCGCCACACGCACCTTGGGCTCCCCACGCACCTCGTCCCCCGCCAGCTCCCGCCCGCCCTCGGGAACACACCCCCAGCACCTCACCACCGTGCTCACCTCGTACTTCTCCTCCTCGCTCTCCGGCGCCGCAATCGCCAGCTTCGTCATCTTCAGCGGCGGCTCCTCGTCGCCCCGCTCCCGCTGCGAAGACTTGGGCTTAGGACGACGCCGGATATTCAGCGTGAACGTGTGCCCGGACTTTTCAACATGGATCTTGGAATGCACCCCAGCGCACGCGCCGTTGAAGCACGCGAGGCAGACGTCGACTCCCCCCGGGCTGTCCTGCACAAATCGGGGGCTGTCAGCGATCCACAGAGACAACGGGCCACGGCGAGGGACCGACCGACCTGCGAATCGAAACACTGCGTGCACTCCTCTCGGTGCACTGCCTGGCTCAGCTTGGGTGCAGAGAGCGCGGCGATGAGCGGGATGTGTGGACAGGACATCTTCGTTGGTAGTTTCTTGCAGAGGGATGGGCGCGTAAGCGATGGACGCGATCATTAGATTCGTCATCTTATCGCGATCAGGACTCGTGATTGGACTCATCTTCCAAGGCATTACCTCTCCCCATAATCGGGTATGGTGTAACGGCTAACATTGCCGCCTCTCATCCTCAAATGGCTTCGCGGCAGCTCGGGGTTCGATTCCCCGTACCCGAATTTTTCGAAACCAACTTTGTTTTTTCTCTTTGGTCACTCTCTGCGCAAACACCATCAGGTCTATTGTAGACCTTACGTTGATAAGTGCAAGCCTCGCATTGGACCTTGAAGGGCTTACACGTGGCTCTCAAGGTTCGACTGACTCCATCTTCAGTCAGAAATAGCATTTTGCTGATCCTCGCCCAGAAATGCACATCATGTCACCCAAGTACCCCCCAATTCAAAGCCACTCGCATCTCGAGGATCCTCAAATACGTGCACATAACCAACGTTTCCACTTACCTCCCCCAGAGGCGATAACCAACCGTGAACAGCGCAACCACAACAAATTTCCCTGGGATGGGCTGACGAGGACGAGGTTCGACTCCCTCTCCCACGTCGTATGAATCGTTGTCAAGAGAAGTCGTACTACCCTTTTTTTGTTTCCTACCTTTCATCTACGTAAACGCGTTCTTGGCGATCTCGTCTTTACTCCGCTGCATGCAGAGTCTGCCTGCCTGAATGAACTGGGGGTGACGAGCCTGAGGACGGGGGGGTTCGACTCCCTCTCCCTCGTCGTCTGGTTCTAGAAATTGTTCTACCAATTGTTGTTTTCCTACCTTCACTATTTCCCGAATGGACACCCTTCCTCCCCCCAGGAACTCAGATAAAGACACCCCCCCCCAAAAAAAAGCTGATAGATAGCGCGGCTCCATAACTAAGGTATAAATACTGATTCATCGAGGCAGCAAAGATTCTCCATCGTTCACCAGAACTCTCACCACCCAACAGAAGAAAACAGCATTTCGAAGATGTTCTCCCGTGCACGTACCACAGTACTCCTTACGCCCATTGCTTCTTTGCGTCTTCCCTCCGTCTCCGCGACCGTGCTCCCCCGCCAAGGCTGAGGCTCCCTCTCCTGCACGTCCGAAGCTTCCAATGCTGCGATGGGCCACACCCTGGCAGGCCGTTAGCTCCCGCATTACTTCAATGAGTCGCATGTGGTACCAATGTGTCCCGTGGCGGTAGGTCGACCCCAGCTCAAACACTACCCTCTCCGGCATCCCCGCGCCTCACCCTCGGCGCGGTCGCCCAGGTCGGCGGTACGTCTCCCTTTCTGGTTCCCTTCCCCCCGCGTCTAGGTGATCACTCGCTGCTCACTCATGACGCTAGATTGGATCTACCAGGTTCATCGAAGCCCGAGGCGCACAGTGCAATTAGCAGACGGTGTGCTGCTCCGGGTGTGTCCTTCCTGATTCTGCATGATATCGCGGAGACTTGGGATGGTCGGCTTACCTAGAGGTGGTGATAGGGCGGGGGTTTGCTTGTCGGAGAGTGCACTCCTGTTAATCTTAATGGATGAGGAAGCTACGATCGTTCGTTGGATCTTCCGATCGTGACGGTGCAGAAAGCGGCCACTCATTCAACATTCATTACCGCCTTACAGTACAAGCCCGAATATTTACCCATGCCATTCCCTTTAGTCTTCTGGCAGTGTTTACTCATTCGCTTGCCTCATAGGCCACTTGCCACTTGAAATCTTGCTTACAAATATCAGCCACTCTCCTAATCATCACCCTGCTTTATCTGGGTAGCCATTACCACCCACCCAGACTGTCATTCTCGTTCAAATATGGGTTAAATTAAGATTAACAGCTCGAGTGCACGATACTACCCTCTCGCAGCAAGCCCTACCACGAATCGTTATACAAATCAATCAGCCCATCTACACTAGCACCACGTAGTGGGCCCTGAATGCCAGTGGTCGAGAAGGACGAATTTCCTGGGCGTTCCCCTGAGAAAACATCGCTTCCGTAACGCGCTTGGCTCCAGATCTTGCTGATCGGGCCATTTCTAACAGGACGAGTCATCAGCACCTGGAAATCAGTTATGAAGGAGGATCCACTGACGCTGCATCGATGCCGTTGATCTGTAGGCCAAAATTAACAGTCACTTTTAAGGAACAGAAAGGCAAAAAAGGAGAAGAAAGACAGAGACGTACCGTTCGGCCACCATACTTGGTCGCAGCATCATTGAGCCATCCCAAGAAAAAGCGGATGAGAACTATGAAAGAACGATAGTTTTGTTGAGGATAAGTTACGAAGCGCCCATCCGACGAGAAAACTCACCATCCGTTCGCTCAGCACCAAGGAATTGGAAATGCTTCCCATAGCCACCCAATTGCTCTACCCTCTCGCGTTGAAGCCTCCAGAGCTCGAGAGTATCTGGGATCTTGGCCTTGTTGCTCCAGACGGAGGTGAGAGCGACGGCGAGGTATTCTGAGTAGGTGAAAGATTGCATTCCGACATTCACTGAGCGAAGGGGTCGGCAGCCATTACTGGAAGAAGAGGGCGATAGGAAGACGTACTATCGACAAAGCCAAGGGTTGGATCCTCGATGTAGAATGTATCAAGGTATAGAGACCGAAGGTGCGTACCATCTGTAACGATAGGGCGCGGATGCTCACTGGACTCGTCGTCCGCGTGCTTGACAGAAGAGTTGTGGAATTGAGGCAGGAAAGGGAAGGTGTACCGATACCCCGTCGCAAATATGACTTTATCGATACCAGAGATTATCTGCATGCCGACGTAAATATTGAATTTCAAAGGTCTGAGAAAGTGGAGGATAAGTTACATACCGTGCCGTTGCCAAGTTCCACTCGGCTGTCTTGGATATGTCCCCCGGGAGGGAGGAAACGTTTGATCTCTGGAACAACGGTTACATTTGCAGGGAGGCGCCGGAGGAAGAGGTCAAGTTGGAAGTGGTTTCGTGAGGCTGGAGCCGATATTTAAAAAGAATATGAAGGAATGCATGGAGAGCAGGACGTACTGTTGTCTGGCTACAATCAAGAGAAGCCTAGGGCATTAGTTGGATGGACGAGAAGAGAAGAAAAGGCGTACTCGAACGGATTGATAGATCTTCTGGGCCTTGGGGCTGATATCGCGCGAGATCTCGCCTCCACTGGTCTATAAGAGGGTAAACATATTTGTTAGTCAAATATGAAGGTTTGAAAAGTAAACAGAGTATCAATGACTTACAGCAGCGCCAACAATTAGCACGGTTTGGTTAGCGTATAAATCCGGCGTTCGGTATTGACGAGAGTGGATGAGATGACCAGGGAATCGATCTGCCCAAACTGCGAGCCCCGCTATGTCGGGAACATTGGGTGCATTATATCGTCCAGATGCAACTACGACGGCATCGAAATCCTGTTCAATGTCGTATAAATAAGCACCAGTCAAAACGTGGAAAGGTGCGCATTAACACAAACCTCGGTTGTCCAAACAGCCTTCGACGATTTGAGTCCGGTGCGAACCACTTTCTTTAAGGTGAGCGTCCACCCAGCCTCTTCTCCGTATTTGTTATACCGCTTCTCAACGAGTTCGACTCGGGTGTTGAACGAGACACGTGGATTCTCATCGTTACTGTTCACACCGTGGAAGGAGGCAAAGGCTCGAACGTAGCGTCCAATCTTTGCATGAGGGAGCTCTAGTAAAGTGAAGTCTATAAAAGGGCATGGTGTGATGACGGATGGAAGTCGTACCCCAGGCTGTACCCTTCGGCCATGGAAGTTCGGGGATCTGGACGAGGTTAGACACGTGAAGCTTGTAGAGGAACCGGAATAGTAAACCTGTTGGATGGGCTGATTGAAGAGTCAAATGACGAGCTGGATATCCAATCTTAAGACAAGACACGTACAGCAGCTGCATTGGAATGGAGGCTATCCCAAATCGGCTTCGGCGCACGATGAGACCTGCGCAATGCGTCCGAAGGCTCGCCATTGTAATCCTCCTCATATGGAAGCTTCGCGCCCTTCGGTGGCAGGGAAGGTGTGAAATCAGCCACGGAAATGTCTGCGTTCGGGATAGGCGCATTGACAGGCGTTTCGTCTGTGTAGTGCCAGTTTCCACCCGGGAGGGTGTCACGCTCAAAGAGGCGGACGTCGAAACCTGCTTTGACGAATTCTCGATAGTTGACAAGGCCTCTACAAGGATGTTATGCTTTCATTGAGTCTATTAACTGGCAGGCTGCCCAGGTTAAACGCACCCAGGACCAGCGCCGATGATAGCTACTTTCTTGATGGGCCATTGAAACTTGTAAAATGAGGTCGTTTCTGAATAAGGAGTCGAGGGTAGAAGGGGTGTCTGGTTGCAGACTGCCACCTGAAGGTTGATGGCGAGAATACCCACTAGCAAAGTTGGTCGAGCGTGCATCAGGGAGTCCTATAAGTACGAGATAATAATACACCATCGGTGTACTTATAGGAAGACGAATCAACCCTGTCAACTCTCCGTTAGCTTGAGGTTGTCGCACTTTGAAGAGGAAATGACGTGACTCCAAGTTTGCATATCGCGCGAGAATCTGATGGTATGAGCAAAGATGGAACTGTTGAGAGGGATAAAGAGATAGAAAAAAGCTGATCAAGATAAAGTGGAACAATATCCATGTTGTGTGCAGATGATGCCTGGCCGAAGCTGCTGCAGTGCTGGAAATCGGAGTTTTTCAACGCTTGGGCCCTGACCGTCAATTTCCAAGACTCCACTGGGCAGCAAGGAAGATAATGGCTGGATAGATTTCTTGAACGCGCTTTTAAATTCAGACTATAGCTAGCTAAGTATGAGTTGTAATGTCAGCATGGTAGCTCAGTCATAGTAGTATATACAGTGACGAATTACGTCATCAGTTCAAGAAGCTGGACATTCTCACGATCACAATATTCTTTCGTCCATGGGATGATCGATAACCCACCATGTCTTCACACCCTGTGTTAGTTGAAAAAATTCTTCTTAGAGCCAATTTTGCACTGACGAAAAAAAGACGATAATCACATCTCCTGGCATTAACCCAACATCCACGCGTAGCTTTACCTCAATGGGATCTCCAGTTAGTCTCGCGAACCGCCCCTACGCCACGCACTCTGACGCTTGCCTAAACGCTGACTGACAGTCAACGTACTACGTCGGACCTATTTCCGTTGTCTGTCCGTTTTTATAACGCGCGGCTCGCATCATATGCATATC